AGAGAGGGTGGTAAACAGAATCTCTTCACTTGACAGGTTTTTAAAATCGATAGGTATGGCTCATTTATGTCTGAAACTCTTAAGAGAAATAGCCAAGAAAAGTAGTTTTATTTTTATTAACTCTTGGGATAGCAAAAATATGCAGATGAGTGGGGAGGGGAAATCAATTTTCTGCCAATATTAAAAGGTCAGATGACCTGATGCTGGTAGATCTGTCATCTTGGCTTTGCTCCCAGCTGAAATGAGAGCAGAGTAGACAGAGGTTTCAACTAATAAAGTATTAAGGGGTCTTAGTAATAACAATAATTAATGCTAATCATCATGGGATTAGGAAACAGAATTCCTATCAAACTGATTAATATTTCTAAACCAAGACTGCAAGTTTTACTGACAAAAGTATTTTGTTGCCTCTGTAAGCAACTGCCTGGCTAGAAAATCACTTTGATTAAAAAGGTAGAAGAATATAAACTCAATTTGGTTCATATTGGTGAAAACCCAGCATACTAGTCTTAAAATAGCTGAAAGGGGAACCATCCATAAGCAATTTCTTTCCAGAGAGGTTCTGCAGGGATTGGGTGTTGTCTTACGGTGCTTAATGTTGTGTTGATTTCTGTTGTTTAAAACTATGCCCTGGCTAAAATCCCATGTGATGAAGTCTGCAGCGGACACAGCAGTTGGGAAAGTGGTCAGTCAGAAGCACGGCTGTGTAGCACAGGGTAAATTGTAACATCTGGTGAGTTCAGATGAGCGAGCAACGTGCTTTTCCATACGCCCACTGTCAGTCTCAGAACAAGGACCTCAGGATGGTGCTTTTCAGCCCTTGGTACCTAAAGGACCATGCAATAGCTTTTAAAAAACCATTGGTCTACTTACAGTCCCACTAACTGTCACTGCAAGGCACCTGCCACGTGCAAGGCATATGCGTATCCATGTCAAACAGCTTGCAAGCACTTCTGGACTAACTTCTCATGTTGTGAATCACAATCATCCTGACTGCAGGCAGGACAGGCCTGGAGCATCAGCAACTGTGTCATGAAGACAGGTAACTCTGAAAAATCCTGGGGTAGTGGTGGGGATCAGCCAGACACAGATGACTGTGAGATGTGGCTGTGACAAAAGGAGTAACAAGATCCTTTGATCCACAGACAGGAAAGATGTTGGGTTGGAAATACTGCTTGATCTCTTTACTTGGCTCCTATCTGCTCTCAGGTCTCCAGTCCTGGCAACCACAATTCCAGAAGAAAGAGGGAAGAATCATCATGTGAGTTAAAAGTCTATGAAATGCACCCAAAGCTGCCTGTCTTCTGAAAAAAAGAAAAAGACAAGGAGTGACTTAATCACAGTTGCTCAGGGCTGGATCTCAGAAAAACTCTAGGTGCCCCAAAAGGGGTGTAAGCAGTCTTAAAACTTTGAAATTTAGATCTAGAAAGATACTTTCTCAGCAGCTGCCTAACATTAGAGACAATTAATTTGATCAAACATCACTCTGCTGGGCTGCAGAGATCCTCCAGGACCTACAGTTCTGCTCCTGTGCATGCCCTGGACTGTCCTCACCACAAATCTTGCCTGCTAGTGTCCTCCTTAGGCTGGATTGGGATCCTGAATCTAGGCAGAAGAGTACTGCAGTCCCTGGGGGCCCTCAACAAGCCTAGTGAGACCACCTCCACTACACCCTGCCAAACACCACCCACATCTTATAGCACCTCTATGTATGTGTTCTGCATTTAACAACTCTGAATGGGATCACCTCAGGAGAAAAGCTTGGTTTTGCCCTACCTCTCCACGCCAGCCAAGTTCCCTGCCCACTAGGGCTCTTCCCTTGGGATGTACTTGTGCCATGGTGCCCAGCCTTTCCCAGGACAAGCTCCATGTAACCCCTTGCTCCATGACCCTGCTGGCTTTCCCCCTGCAGCCAAAGCAGGTAACGAAGGCTTGGGTTCCCAGCTGGGGCAGGCACAGAGCTTGGACCTACCCTTGAGCATGGAAAAAGACATTTGGCAGCAGAGGGCTCTTCCCCTTTGCAGAGTAAAGCATCATGAGATTAAAGAGCTGCAAGATGAGACTTGGCAGATTTAGATTTAAGGCAAAAAACAATAATAATTAACAATGTGGGTGATTAAGCAGTGAAAGAGCATGCTAAGGTGATGGCTGGTTTTTAAGCACTGAATATTTTACACCAGAATATCTTTTTCTCAAAGAGATGCTCTCATTCAAATGGGACTGAATTAAGTCAGGGAGTTCTCTGACCTGAGGTAGGTAGAAGATCATGCAGATAATCCACATACTCCCTCTGGCTTTGTGACTAATTCCGTTTGGTACAGCTATTCCTGATGTGAGGTCCAGGGGACCTGTGCTTGCCCTCAGGATCTTCCAAACTCATTACATTTGTTGTGTCAACCCATTAGATACTCACAGGCTGCATGCAGACTCATTAGTTAGACTGAATTATGTCTTTGCTCTTTGAACATTATCAAAACATTCAGATCTAGTGTGTTTCATGGTCTGCCGTTGCTCCTTCTTTGTACACACATTTCTGTGGTTACTCCTTGCTCACAAACCACAGACTTTTAATGCACATATGCTGGTTTCGGTTATTTGGTAGATTGAAACTTGGTGGCTGATGTCATCCCAATCTTTTACATTTATCTTACTTTGGATGAAACCCTTTATTATTAGATTAAAAAAAAAAAATTGTTTCAGACCTCATACATTAACTTTGTCTTAAAAAATCTAGCAGCCAGGTTCCTACAGAAGATGTTTAGTAGCTCAGGTATCAAGAGCCTGTGAACCCCTTGTACCTCCAGATTTGCAGTGCCTAAAATGGAGCTCAGCGAGCAGGATGTTCATGGAAGGTGGGACATGATAGAAAAGTATAAAAACAATGGCAAATGCATAAAGCACCTGGATTCAGTGCAAATGAGCTGTTTTGCTTGGAGCTAGCTTCAGGCTACTCTGCATTTTCCTGGACCACAGGTAGGCAGTCAAACTCTTGCTTTAGAAACCTCAGGTCTCTAACTGCTTTGGAGTCTGAAGCAGTCCACCTCATTTAGTCCCTGCTCCTTTTAAGAACAAAAAATGAGGAACTGGTCTCAGAATCGCCGAATCATTAGGGTTGGAAGGGACCTCTGGAGATCATCTTGTCCAGTTACCCTGCCAGGTCAGGGTCACTTACACAGGAACTTGGCCAGGTGGGTTTTGAATGTCTCCAGAGAGGGAGACACCACAGCCCCCCTGGGCATCCTGTTCCAGTGCTCTGCCACCCTTAATGTAAAGAGTTTCTTCCTCATATTGAGGTGAAACTCCTTGTGGTTTAGTTTATGGCTATTGCTCCTCGTCCTGTCACTGGGCACCACTGGAAAGAATCTGGTACTGTCCTGGCACCCACCTTTGAGATATTTGTATGCATTAATGAGATCACTCCTCAGTCTGCTCTTCTCTAAATTAAACAGGTGCAGCTCCCATAATCTCTACTCATAACAGAGATGCTCCAGACCCTTGAACATCCTTGTGGCCCTCCACTGGACCTCTCCAGTAGCTCCTTGTCTTTCGTGTAGTGAGGACCCCAGAACTGAACACAGTATTCCAGATGTGTCTTTGAAGAGTTTTGAGATGCCACCACTGTCATCCAGCTGCAGTTCCACTTGGCTCTCAGGGAGTGAATGTCCATCATATGTCATGGTCATGGCTTTATCCCCACCTATTCTTTCTGGGGGAGCCCAGTGCCCTGTGACTGAAGGAGTACCAAGAGCTGCCACAGAGCCACTCTCCTCATTCACATTTATCCATCAGTTTGCATTCTTCCTGTGCTCGCTCTGCATTTAATGTGTGAGTAATAGTTTTTTCACGACTGTTATTCAGCACCTACGTACTTTTGCTGGAAGGAGGGTGGAGGAGGGTGGGGAGGTTTTTGGTTAATGAAATTGTTATTATTTGCTGACAAGATCACTGAGTATCTTAAGAGGGAATTTGATCTCCTTCCAAGTAACTGAACAGGAATTTGCACTGCAGAATATGTGTGAAGCGTGTGTATTCCAGGAAAAAAAAGGAGTATTTGCAGTCGCATTGCCTAGGGATTTCAGCATCTGTGAGAAAACAACATCAGTGATCACAATGTGCAACATTCTTTATGATGACTTGATTATTTTAGCTCCAGGCCAGTGGAGCAGTACATGAACACACCCTCCTGCTAAACCCACCTCATGTGAACACAGCTTCATGGCAACCCCTCTCTTGTGCTTCAGATATTCCTAAAGCTTCATCTAGCCTGGGAAAATAAGTTCATTGTGAAGCAGATGTGCAAGAAGCACGTTCCAGCTGACTGGTTTTTTCACATGCAAACACTGGTAAGGCTAACACTGGTGGAGTCATAGAGAGTGTGTAAGAGTGCTGCAGACGTCTGTGAGAGGCGTTAGAGAAGTCCCTGAAGGAGGGCTGGAATTTGAGTCCTGTTCCTGCGAAGCTGTAGTCACGTCACATACACACGTGAGTCCCACCAGGACTGCAGCTCACTGCCCCTCCTACCTAGGCACCTCTACAACTCCAAGACGTGGGGCCTGGTGCTCCACAGCCATACAGCCCTGCAGGCAGCCACAGGGCTGACAATGCTTCCCACACCGTGACTCCATTACGTGGATGGAGTGGCTGCCATTCACAGAATGAGGCCTGTTGCGGATCTCATCTGGGAGCAGGAGGTGCTCACAGGCTGAGGAGGCTGTTGACCATGTAGGCAAGAGCATGAACTGGGGCACAGCATCGTAAGTGATGGCTGCCTCCAGCTGGGAAAGAGATGCTGCTGTGGAGGAGCCCAGGGGAGGTTGTACAGCCCCCTGTGCCCAGGTGCACCATACCCCAGCACCCTGCTGTTGGCTGCAGCCCCTGGCCAAAGGGGCAGAGCAAAGGGTTGAGTTTCATGAGGAAATGTTTCATGCATATAATTTCACAGCTGCCAAACCAGCCTAAAACTGGGTGTAGAGAACAAGTGAGGAGGAAAGCACTGTTTTCATAATCCTTTGGCAGTGAAATGGGTCAGTGTTCTTACGGGAGAAGAAGAATGCAGTGTTTAAGAAATAAACAGCATAGCTGTACTTTGTAATAGCTGGACAGTCCTGCTTTCCTGGAGAGTAACACAGAGTTTAACTATGGGCTTATATGCCTTGTCTTTTGTCCTCACAGTCTATCCTCTGAACACAGCTCTGTAAAGTGGAACATTTCTGCTGTCTTCTTTAAAATAATCTGTAATTCCTTGACCATAATGCAAAAGGAGGCACCCATCTGTTTGTTCAGGGTTTTTTATTTCTCTCTTTCACAAATGCCCTTGTTTGTGTTAACTAGCGAATCTGATCATCCAGCTCAGAGGAGAGTTACACAACTGCAAACCTCCTGAGACTTCAGTCAAATAGCAAATCTTGCTTAATACCCCCTCGTTTGCTTCTTGCTTCAGATTAGCAGCTCCTTTGGCATTACAGCTGTGCTCTACTTTTACATATAAACCAGAATAAACCACAAAAGGAATGTTAAACACAAAAGCTGTGTTCTTTCCACCTTGCAGGACTTCGTGAAATGAGCCTGGCTGTATTAAACATGACATAAAACTCCCACAGGGAGCATTAGTCTGAGTGATTCATATAAACACTTAAAGTAGTCAGTCTTGGTTGAGCTTCCTAGTCAAATAAGGTGGGTAATGGTACGCAACCCGCAGAGCCCCTCTCCTTTGGAGAGCACTGCTGATAGAAACCTCACTGGCAGTTATCCTCACTGGGAAGCAGCAGGATAAGTATTGGGTAACAACAGACAACCTGGGCTTTGGGTAACTGTCACACAAGGAATTGCAAGTATCTTTTCTGTGAACTGCCTAGTGCTGTGAGACATTCTTCATCCGCAGCCCTGGCGTGGGCCATCTGAGGAGGAAAATCTCATCAGCCTCTAGAGATGCAGCCAGGTTTATGATCACTTTCTTTTGCAGTTGACTTTTAAGGGAGATAATCTTATCAGGAGGAGGTCTGGAGGGAAGGCAAGTTACAGGTATGTGCATTTCGTGTGTTGATAAAGGTGTAGATGAAGCTGCTTTCTTTTCCTTCGGTCTGTGCTGTCTGGTTTCCAGGAGCCATTGCTCAAACCCATCCTTCCTCCTGGCTTTTTACCTCCACCCACATGCCTTATGTGGAGCCCAGTTCTGTGCTGTAGCCACCGGCATGGCTGTGTGGCGGTGTGGATGAACAGCACCAGCATCACAGGCTGAGAGGTCCCTGCTGTCACCCTGAACTCCTCTGTGAGCTGAAAAAGTGCTGTGTTCTGGGGCACACACCTGCATGACATCTTTTATAGGTGCCCTCCATGGGATGCTGCTTCTCTCGGCTTGCTTTGGGCCCCGCCTGCCCAACCCGGCAGATGGCTCCCCTGTGGAAACAGCTTTGCTGGCTCTGGAAGCAGCCCTAGCCTCAGCCGCCCTGGGGATGCTAATAGAGCCGTAGCTGAAACAAAGCACATCGCTGCTTAAAGCAAAGAGCTGGGTAGCCAAGTTTTTGCAGCACTTCCAGATGTGCAGCGGGGGAGTCAGTTTTAGCCTATTTTTCAGATTCTTTTGAACTCTTTCTGATTTTCATTGTTTCTTAAAGCACCCTGCGAGCAATCTGTGCTGATCACTCCTGCTCAGCTGAACGTTTCCAGTGGCAGTAACTCTGTGTTTTTTCTAGCTGAGACTCTCTTGACGGAAGCCCCATCTGTATGCTGGGGCAGGTTGGCAGCAGAGATCTCTTCCACTGAACTCCAGTGGCTGTCAGCACACCGCACTGGTGCTTCAGCTTTTCTCAGACACACATCTTTCCCCCGGGTTTGTACTGCCTGTAGTTTCAAGCAACCTCTTTAACAAATCCTGCAGCATTTCCTGGGGAATTAACATGATTGTGAGGGGGGAATAAGTTGTGAGAGGAACCAAAGAAACCTCCCCTGCAGCCTGTCAATGCTTATTTTCAGGTGATAAAAAGTGAGTGTGATGATGCCCTGGTTGCTGCTCCTTCTGCTGGTCAGCTTTGGCTCACCCGCACCCAGGTTTTCGGTGTGTATCTTTTACCTAGTGTCTGTACAACCTCTCAATGGCTTATGTACAAACCCCTTTGAGTTCATTAAATGGGCGTTGAAACATACTATTTTTGTCCAAAGTAATTTTCTGTGTATCTGGTCATATTCTGGGATGCTTTGTGCAGCAAAAGGGTCATTGTAGAAAAACCCTTTTCCATTGGGTTCAATTCAACAGCCCTTGCTGTGCAAGATTGCTGTATCTTAGAAGACCACCATCAACTCATTTTGATCCACAGGGGCAGTGTGACATGGTAGAGTCAACAGGAGACAGGTACTGCTCTCTCTTGCCTCCCTGTTCCTACCACTGACTGAAATGGGGTATGTGTGTGTGTGTGTGTTTCTTTTATTTCCTCCGTAGGAAAAAGATATCTGCTTCCTAGACAACAATAAATTAAGGCAAAGGTCAAAACAGCTTCAAGACTTGCTTTTCTTATATGAACTACAACTGAAGGACATCCTGGAGAACACTTACCATAGAACAAGCAGTGGGCTGTTCTCAGGCAACAGGAGCATGCAGCATCAGACGCTTTTACCCACAACCAGTGGAAATTTGATAGTCTACGACCAAGGTACAGCCTGCAGTAGTGTGTGTGGAAATTTCAGCTCATCATGGTGTTTGTTTCTCCCTGCAGTGCCCCATGTGTCATATTTTATTTCTGCTAAAAGTTTTAACATTTCTAAAGTGCACTGTGTTTTAAAACTGAGATACATGGGAAGAGAAGGGCAGATTGGCCAACAGTGGTGGCCTTGGTACCAACAGACATCTCCTGGGGCCAGAGTGAGTTGGGCAGCTTTAGGCATCTACCACCCAGGTACACCTGCAGCTGGGTTTGGGACCCTGGTGCAGAGCTGGACAGGCACCTCTCAGATGTTTGCTGTGAGACCTACTTTAGATATCTAGGGAGAGATGGGTCCTGCTCTTGAAGAGTCCATTTCCTTGAGTGACTTACTGGAGCCCAGAGGACCTGGCTCAACTGCAGGCACTGAAACCTCTTTGGAGGAGCCGAGCCTCCCCATTGCTCAGTTCCTCCATCACTTCTGTGATGCAGTAGCAGCTGTGCAAACTCTGTTCTTTGGTGTCACTTTGAGAACTGGAATCATGGCCTATGACCAAGATTTTGTCCTTCATGGGCATTACATTGAAAGTGTGAAGCACGGGGGTCCTGAAAGGAACTCTCCTGATACAGCCCTGGTACAGCTGGTCACAGGAGCTTAGCCTCTTGTTTTAGAAATCGTGGACCTTGATCAATCTGAAGTACAGCTGAGGTTACATTCCAAGTGCAAATCAGCTTCCCTACAAAGTCTGACAGAGCCAGTCCTGGTCCTGCATCTCTCCTATTCCACAGCTCCAGCCTGCACTGCAGCCATCTCATGTCTCAGTGAAGATTTGGGAATGACTCCCTCAGAGGGCATAGCTGTAAAGGCTCTCAAACCTTGCTGCTCTTTGCCAGGCCCAGCAGTTTGCAACCAGCAATGCTCTTACCTTACTGAACAATTTGCTTTGGCTCTGCAGGGCTTGCAGGGCTATACACAGGCTGCCAATTGTCCTTGCCCCAGGCAGCCTTTCAGCGATGTCCGCTCTGGGCTGCACGTACCCCTTTGCTTCGCCCTGCCCTGTTTAACAAGCTGGTACCATTCTGCCCAGATTGCTCTGCCGTGTATGATCGGAAGAACACCAAAAACGGCTACTACCGGATCAGGCCCAGGGCAGACCGAGAGCCGTTCCTGGTGTACTGTGACATGTCCGATGGCGGGGGCTGGACCGTCATCCAGCGGCGCAGTAATGGCAAAGAGAACTTCAACAGGTGGGTGCATCAAAAGGGCTCACAGTCACACCTACAGCTTCCACCCCATCCTTCTGGCTGGCAAACCCTGTCTTAGCAGCAGTATGTGCAAGACTATACTCAGCTATGATAACTCTTTGCATTAGGACAATCTAGTGGTATATACAGGTAGTAGGAGGCCATTCTCAAAATGGACCTATAATGCCTTTTCCATGACTTCTCTGTATCTGAGTAAGTGTATACGTGTGTGTATATTGGTTTTATCATTAATGGGGACTGTTGAAGGCTCCAAATGGGCAGGTACCTGCTGCCAGCACACAAACTGATACCTGTTGAACATATTCTCACATCAGGATGTTTTGTTCAGCATGGTGTAACATGTTTTCTTATTCAAATCATTCAAAAAGATGCCAGACGGCTGGTCCAGATTGTCCTTTCTCTATGCAAAATCCCAGGGAGGTAGCTTTCACGTGGAAATCTCCACAAGGAGAGATGCTCTGGTAGCACAGTTAAGAAGAAGTATCATCATGCAGATTAATTCATTATCATAGCACACACAGCTTCAGGGTATGTCTGGTGTCTCTTATGGTGAGTGCAGTCCATTGCAAAGCATCTCAACTGGCTTTAAGCTGGCTTGCCTAGAGCATGGTAGCTATCTAGCCATGGTAGTTCCGCTCTCAACACAGGTGAAGGGAAAACAACCTGAAGCGAAGCACTGACTAGTATGAAGGTCAGGCAGAGTTAATATCCCCAGTAACATGAGAGAGGGAATAAACATGAGGTTAGTAAAACTGGAAATGATGATACACAGAAGTATACGTGAATATTTAAAATAATACATAAATAACAGAGATTTTTAAGAGAATGATGGGGGGAAAGTAACAGCAGGAGATTTCTCTTAGAAAGATGAAGGCAGAGAATGCTGATGAAAAGTATCTATCTTTGAAGGACAAGTTACCACATTCAAATGGTGATCATGTGGAAAAGCAGAGGTAGGAGCGGTCAATGAATCAAAAGTAGATTTAAATGGAACACAACACAAAACAAACCCAGATATTTTGTTTTTAACTCCATCTGGAGGCTTTTGTTTGCAGCTTCTATTCAATTTCTGATTCTTCACCATACCACATCATACATCCAGGAATGCAGCATATTTTAGAGTGCAACATTCATTTCCAGCCAGGAGTGCATTTCAATTATGGCTTGCTGAAGAACAATATCCCATGCTTTGCTGAAGACCAGTATGACAGCTGCTGCTTTCCCTTTCCATCTAACTGACAACCTCATTCTGCAAACATGGCATCTGGCAATATGAAGGTTTGATCCCAATATATGTGTGCACAGGTTTAGCAGAAGCTAGCTGCAAGTTGTATTTAATTCTAAGGCAGAGAGACAAATCTCAGCTCAGCTTGAAATGAATCAGATACTTGTAGAAAACAGTGTCTAGAGGTACAGCTGAAGTTTTACCCATTTCCACAGCCAAGTGTCACACACTGTCTAGCTCCCTCACATGGTGAAACTGGTATTTGTATCTCACTGCAGGAAATGGGATGATTACAAACTGGGATTTGGGAAATTCCAGGGCAGGAATGACGAATACTGGCTGGGCAATGACCACATCTATGACCTGCTCACTAGAGGTGCAAGTATTATCCCTCCGTAGATTTCTTTCCAATCTGCATGAGATAGTTCTAACATGACATCTCTTTGTGTTTAGGAGAGAGCTCATTAAAGATTGACCTGATGGACTGGCATGGGGAAAGACGTTATGCAGTCTATGAAAATTTCCAGCTTGCAAATGAGCAGGTACGAAATGGAGAGCGTGGTGATTTGCTTGTTTTGTCTGTGAGGGTGGGGCATCTGCACATGAAGCATCAGATTTCAGTATCAGGGTTGTAATTGCAACTCTGCAAAACTCACCTGCTTTGGTTCCCTGGGGTTCCTGGTTGGGCTGACTGACAAACAGCCCTGGGAGCAGGAGCATAAGCCTGGGACTTCTTCCTCACACTGCTGAGTGCCCAAGCCAAGATCCAAGACAGGATCATGTGCATGTGCTCTCTTACCATCTCTCTACCGCAGTGCACAGGGATTCCCACATGTGTTTGCCTTCAGCCTTATGGTTAGGAGTCTTCTGTGAGGGAGGAGATACAGGTTTGAAACCCTGCAAGGAAACTGAACCTGGTTCTCCTACATCCTAGGAGTTATTCTAGCTGAACAACTGATCAGTTTGTGAAGGCAACTGCTTGGCATGGTTTCCTGCCAAGTTGCTCTTGATGAGCTAGGAAGAGCCTTCCAGTATGTTTAGTTTTCAAATAGCTGTTGAAAGACAATAAACCCTGAAGCCTTTTGTAGCAGCAGCAGTAATCAGCAATCCCTTCTAGAAGTTTAAATCCTGCCTTGAGCTATACTAGGATCACTAAAGCACGGGACCAGAAGTCACCCTTGGCTTCTACAGCCATGCCTTTCACAGTGGATACAATGGCCAAAGCAAATTTGATCTCAGAAATGGGAGGAAGGGCAGAAGGAGCTGATATCAAAGACATATTTCACATATTATTGCAGGACAACTACAGGTTATGGTTTGGCACCTACTCTGGTAACGCTGGTGATGCTCTGTCTGGGGGCAGCAATTTTGAAGATCAGTGGTCAGCTTCACACAGAGGGATGCAGTTCACCACATCTGACAAGGATCATGATCGATTCCTGGCAGGCAACTGTGCATCTGAGAACAAGGGCGGCTGGTGGTTTAACAGGTAAGGAAAGCAGTCGATTCCTCTTGGATGCATAGGGTGTGGTTGTAGCCAAGAGGACTTGCCAGCCTTACACAGCTGGAGGTTGCTATGTGATCTTGCCATCTCACAGAACCAAACCTGTGTTGACACCTACAGATCCTCAAGGGAAAGCAATCTGCTTCTTCCATTATGAAGCAAAGCAGATAAGCTGCTTTCACTGTAAGAAACCGGGCCATTGATTTTCAGAAAAAAAGGTCAGAATAAATGTTGGAGCAATGCCAGGCACAGCTACAGGTTGGGCAGAGAAGAGATTCAGAGCAGGCCTGTGGAGAAGGACTTGGGGGTGTTGGTTGATGAGAAAATGAACATGAGCCGGCTTCAGTGTGCGCTTGCAGCCCAGAAAGCCAACCGTATCCTGGGCTGCATCAAAAGGAGCATGACCAGCAGGTCAAAGGAGGTGATCCTGCCCCTCTACTCTGCTCTTGTGAGACCTCATTTGGGGTATTGTGTGCAGTTCTGGTGTCCTCAACATGAAAAGGACATGGAACTGTTGGAACAAGTCCAGAGGAGGGCCGCGAATGAAGATAGGTTGAGAAAGTTGGGACTGTTCAGCCTGGAGAAGAGAAGGCTGCGTGGAGACCTCATAGCAGCCTTCCAGTATCTGAAGGAGGGCTACATGGATGCTGGGGAGGGACTTTTCATTAGGGACTGTAGAGATAGGACAAGGGGTAACGGGTTAAAACTTACACAGGGGAAGTTTAGATCAGATATAAGGAAATTCTTTCCTGTAAGGGTGGTGAGGCACTGGAATGGGTTGCCCAGGGAAGTTGTGAATGCTCCATCCCTGGCGGTGTTCAAGGCCAGGCTGGACAGAGTCTTGGATGGCACGGTTTAGTGTGAGGTGTCTCTGCCCATGGCAGGGGGGTTGGAACTAGATGATCTTAAGGTCCTTTCCAACCCTAACTGTTCTATGATTGTATAAATGCATACGGAGGAATGACCTAGAAGGGAAAACAGCCCCATTAAAATTCTTTAAGGTGCTTTGGGTCATATCCCAAGAAAGAAACTGTGGTCACTGCAAGGTGAAGCAAGTACATAGGACATTATTGTGGAGCATGTCTAGGGCATGAGCTACCCTTCAAGAATCCTGGTGATGTATTTGCTAGTTGGGCACACCCCACACATTGACAGACAGGGACTTGGGTTGATCAGTCCTGGGAGCATGGACACACTGTGCTCAGTTTTCCTCTGCTTTAGGGCAGGATGTGCCTCTTCTTTGACTGCCTCTCATCACATACAACTGGAAAACAGTGGAGCTACAAAAATGTGTATCAATAGTGGGTTTTACCTTTATCAAAAGGCATCTACATTTTTAGGTGCCAATACATAGCTGCCTACACTTCAGCTAGAGCCTACCAAATGGCTCTCCACTTCTCTGTTTAGGCAGCTGGATCCTGTCCCTAGTTAATACACTTGAAGGAGTCCACATGTTGAATTATCTGAGCAATGTAGGTGTCTACTTTGAGATGACCCACATACTTCTCTGCATTCCAGTAAATGCATTAATCAGATCTCCATAGGCTACTGTAGGAGTTCAGTAGAGACAGATATATCTAGGTGTCTGAATCTGTCAACAAATCCCACCCTGGTTATTTCTAAATCTATGTTGTGTGAAAATTGTACTTCACTGGAATGGTGCAGTATCTTCCCACACTAAACTTCATCTCCCTTTTCCCCCCTCTTACATCATTACAAGGTGCCATGCTGTGAACCTCAATGGCCGGTACTACAGAACAGGAAGGTACAATGGATCCCATGATGATGGCTTGGTTTGGTCTACGTGGCATGGGGTGTGGTACTCACTAAAATACTCTGCCATGAAAATCAGGGCTCCATTCTTTGTTGACAGCGAGAGTGGAGATGGTGAGAACAGCCAGGGCAGCTGAAACCTGCTGCTTTGGAAAGGAAAGAAGTACAGGCTGAAGGGAATTGTACAAGTTAACAGCCAGCCCTCTGCTCCTGCCAACCGCCAAACCTGCACTGTGAGAACTGGAGTTGCTGAAGCTAACATTGTGAGTTGTTTGAGCACAGCCAGACAATAATTTGACAGAAAACATACGGATCTAGTCATGGACTAAATGCAGCAATTTTCAGCACTCATTGGAGAGTGTTTTAGAAAAGCTCCCTGGACCTTGAATGATTAAGAATGTTCTTTTAGCTATCTGTACTCCTGAAGGGCCCAATCCTTCTCATCCTGATTTTAACCACCAGTGCTTCAGTTACGAGAACATAACAAACAACAAGGTGATAGGGAACTGAACTTCATCTGGTCTACCTACATTAGTGGATCAGGAGTTTCAACAGCTGTGTCTATGGTCCCCAAATGCCACACTTCAGTTGCAGAACACTCCCGGAGAGTGTGAAGCCAAGGCAGTGACATGCTACAACTGCTAATGTGAATCCAGACTAAGGCTACTTCAAAGGAAATCCCCACAACACAGATAGTGTGGGTGCTGGGTTTGGTTGCCAAGTGCTTTGCGCTGCAGATCCACTTCTGCAGCACACCGCAACATATTAATGCAAAGACAATGCTGCCAATCAGATTTAAGCCCCAGATTAAAATGAGGCAGATTTTGCTGAATTTAAGATAAGCATAGACACTCTCAGGAGTTCATAAAACACAGTCACGATTCATTTGTATGTTCTCATGCAATTTACCACTAACTTTGAGTTAATGAAGGGGAATGTGAAAGTGGAAGTGGTTGAACCATAAGGCCCACTGCTTTCCATGTATCAGTGGAGTGAAATGAAAGAGCAACACAAATTGGATACTGAAAATTTATTTTCCACACGTTTTTAATAACAACAGTTACAGTGAACAGTAATATCCGCTTGATGCAAATCAGTTACCTACCATGTGGTAAAATGAGCCTATTTCTTTTTCTGAATTATAATATTTTTTTTAAACTGATTGTTCTTTTCCATTTACTTGCTTTTAGATCCATACATATTGCAATTTGTATTATATATCCATAGAGGGTGAAATAAAACCATCTGAGTAGGTCTTAACACTTCGTATCTCATTTTCAACAGTAGGAACTTGAACAGAAATTTGGATTATTAAAATCTTGAGAAAGCTCATAATATGAGAAATGCTTTCTTTTGGTGTTGGCTCTGGTGCTTTGACACCTGCTGTCCTGGGTAGCTGAGAGTCTCTGCAAGGTAAGTTTAATTTCCAGGGCTCAAGTTGTCCTGGAGACAATGCAGAGACATGTGAAGGTTCAGTATCGTAACTTGGCTTGGTTCCTCTGCTTTATGAAAAGGTAAACTCCGTTTTCACTTCTTCTTAGAAATCCCAGTGGTTGCAGACATGAACACTGGAGAGCAATGGGCCAGCACTCCAGGGAGCAGTGATCCTAAAACCTTCTTCCCACCTACCCACACGGAACAAAACTTGCACCTCCCTCTCTGAAATGAGGTTGCCTTGTGAAGAAAGGGCTGTGAACTATTTACTTTTTGATCACTGCTTCTGTATTTTATACTATGCTAAAATCTTAGTGCAAGGTTGTAACTCCGTGTTAGGAACATGAGGAATCCCTTTGCACACTTCACAGCCATGTGGCCACTGATGCAGTGCTGAGGGCAGCAAGGACAATCTTTGTCTAGGCAGAGAAATATGAGTGAAATAAATTAATGCCTTCTGGCAGATGATACTCAATCCTGTTCTTCGGTAGAGGGGCTATGGAAGCAGGATACAGACTGCAGACCGGTGATGCACGATTCTGCATGCTGGAAATCAACTACAGCACCAAAGAGACAGTATTAGTGGTTTGACAGTTCATTGAGCAGCCAATAACCCATCTGATAATGGAGCTATCAATAACAGAAATACCAAGCTGAAAATAAAGTCAACAGGGCTGAGACAGATAACTGCTACCCGGTCCAGTTCCCCAGTGAAGGAGCAATGAGCAGTCTAGAGTACAGAGCTTGTTTCCCTCTGCGTCAGTACAGAGAGGCAGGCATTACAGTTGAGCTGCCTTCAGCCAGCATCAATGGTGTTATCTCTAAGAGAAAGGAAAAGAGATAAAAGGGGTCCAGACCTGACAAGCTGGGAGGAAAGGGGTCTGCCTTGCTGTCTTAGATGTAAGATGCACCTAAGTACATGCAATGCATTACAGTAGCTGTTCTGAATGCAGCTCAACAGTAAGACAAGGTTGCAGGAAGCGGCATCTGGCTTGGAACAATGCTTCCCCTCCTCTGCCCTCCTGCGGTGCAGGTAACCCTCTCAGAGACACAGGTCACAGGGCTTTGTGCAGGACCCCGCAACTCCCACAGCAAACCCCAGGAAGTGTTTCAGAACCCCCTTTATCTCAGTAGGCAGGGTAAAATGCCACTAGCTAGTACTTATTTGATCTGAGGGCTACCGCCAGGCTCACATCACTCCCACTGAAGGTCAGGGGAATGCTTGTGCAGTGTGGCTGTGCTGTACATTTGATCTCCCTTTTCTCCAAGGTCTCCCGTGCTGAGAGGGCTCACCAAATCTGTAAACAGATATTGCAGCCCTGCTGACACCTCACTGCTTCAGGGTGAATGTGCTTCACATGGCAGGCTTTACCTTAGTACAGAGGTGGTAAGTAACCTGAGCAGCAATTGCTTCAGAGGTCTGATTTCCAGCTCATTTAAGTCACTTTGAAGACTTGTTACATTTGATTAGCTGTGGATCGCTCTTCAAGTGTGGACATGCTCTCAAATGCTTTAAACAGCATTTCAAGCTGACAGCTTATGGCAATACAGAGCAGGTACTAACACCACACTGTGCCAAAGGGCTGAATGTCAACAATGCAGTATGCTAGCCCAGCTCTTGGGAAAGAGGGAGCTCACAGCATCCTGCGAGTCAGACCCAGGGCTGCAACAGCAGCTGCAAAACATTACCCATCAGAAAGGCCATTCAGACAGCAGGGTTTGATTCTGGCAGCCAAATGCTGCAAGCCTTGCTCCCCCGAGGCTGTCACAGCAAGACCATCACTGTGTGCCTGCGAGGTTACCTCGGCATGCTTTGGACATGAAATGTGGGGTGCTGTCGGTAACTGGCTAACACACAGTGATGCTGCTCTTCCTTTAAAACTGTTGGTGTGGAGAAAAACAGAAGTGTGGGGTTGGGAAAGCTATCCTGCTCAGAAAGGCAGTTTTAAGAAAAACAGCAGCCTACTGCCAGAAAACTGAGCATGTGGTAAGTGTTCCTTCACACTCACAGAGGGCTTAAAGGCCCACGTCAGGTTGGGCTCCTTCTAGGAGAGTTAAGACAGCCCTCTGCCCGAACCTACCTTCTCTCATTCCATCCTCCATGGGCAGCATCTCATCTTTGCTTGGTTTTGCCCAATCGCATTTCCCTGGTCTTTGCAAACTCCCTGAAGAGATGGTTATCCTAACAAATGGCAAGCAAAGTCTCTGAGTCATTCTTGCTGGCCTGAGCTCTGTCTCTGTTGTTAACTGGGGTTTCAACCCAGCTCTGAATACTTGCAGCAGTGTGTAATTGTCAATTTGTGATCTCTGGTTTTAAAGCCCGACAAAATCAAACACCCAAAGTAGCTTTTGTGCTTCACCATAGGATTCTCTGGGAAGCACCAAAAGTTGTCAAGCCAGTTTTAGTTTCTGCTCACAAACCAGGTATTCATTAAATAAATTTGTTATTCGCTGGTTTTGCTCATAATTTATTCTGAGCTTGCTGTAGCAGTATTATTGTCAATGTATTTACATTCTGAAAAGCTTAATAAAGGCAAAGATGCTTATGGAAAGGGTGGGTGATTCAACAGTTCTCATTGTCTTTTAGAGGTGCTTAGATGCTGCAAGTAACATTTCTGTGAGGACTCTAAATCTGATCATCCATTTTCTTTGCCCTCCCAGTAGCATGCCTCTTCTACTCATTTCCTGCATATATCTGTACATCACTGATTTTGTAGTATAAATATTGACAGAAGGAAAGTATCAAAACCTTGAAGGGTGAGAAATGCCCCCTCAGTTTTAAATTCACTCCAAGTATTCAGCATCAATTGTTTGCACTTTCATGCAAGCAGCTAAAATAAACACCACCCATATGACTTACTAGAGCAATTGCGATGAATCGGCACACTTCAATAGTGACAACCATAAAAGTTATGGAAATTGCTCACAACTTGAGGTTTGTGTTTTCTAAATGGGCAAGGATTCACCAATTAGGACAGATGGTTGAGGATACTGACAATGGATGCTTTAGGGCATTATTATCTACTAGTACATGGTCCGCAAGGTGAGAAAGGCCAGATCAGTGGCATCTATCACATATGATGCACCAAACATGACTGCTTTATGCAGTAAAAACTATTGGCTATTTCTGTGTCATGCCTCCACTAACACATGCTTTCCAGGGGTACTTTGTGTGAACTGTACACACATACATACAAAAATAATGATATGGAAGCACTTTCCAGTAATTAGAAAGGAATGTATTCCCATAAGCCAGACTCAGGGCATTACTCCTTCCTGCTCTCTGTGGGGGTAACAATTCCCACTGCTCCTTCCACCACAAGCCAACAGGTCCTGCAGATCCTCTCCCACTCATGCCCCTTCTGCAGGGCAGCAATGAGTCTCTCAGATCACCAGCTTCTCGATGCTTAAAGTACTTGTTTCATCCTCTTCATTGGAGCCAAAATACCCAGGGAGGTCGATCATCTGCTGCTCTGCCTCCGTTAAGCCAAAAGTAGTATTATCATAAAAGGCAAACTCAGGATCCAAGGGGAAGCTCTGGCACTTGTCCCTTCGGTACTGGGCAGGGCTTATACTTGGGACTCTCTGGGAATTATCCTTGCCAGCTGAGCCTGTTTCCTTCCGCCATGTGCCTCTGGGGTTAGGTGAAGGGCCCCGTTTGCTTCGGCTGGGCTCAGGCTTATCAGCTGCCTTCTCCTGACCGGCAGGCTGGTGGTCAGTGACCAAGTCCAGCTTCTTCGCCAGCAGCCCTGCCCTGTGGTGGCACTTTGTGCCATGGCCCTGTGGTTCACATCCTGGCACAGCGCTGTGGGGCTGATCCAGCTTTTCACCAGTTGGATTAGTGTTCCTCGATTTTGGCCGCATCCTGTCCTCCAAACCCTGGTCCCATGTCCTGGTCCTGGAGTTGCAGAGAGGAGTCTGTCGGGGGGTAAGGGTGGACATGCTTCTCTCTCTGAAAGGCTTGGCCTTTTTAGTCTCATGGAAACTGGCTGTTCTTCTGAACTGCGGGTTTCTGTGGCAGCCCCTCTCCAGCAAGTCCCCTCTGTTATCCTGGTGCTTGAAATGAGCTCTTCTTACCAAGGTTTGGGTAGGGCTCATTGCAGCATTGGCCTGTGAGAATGGAAAATCCAGCCTAGGGTGAGAGCCTTCCCCCAGGAATTTGGGCTGACTGGCTGGCTGTTCCAGAAATGGAGATTTGATCCTAAATTTGTTTGCTGCTGCCTCCTCTTGGTTTTCTCCACTCAGTGGAAGCATCGTGGTAGCACCAACAACCGTGTCTGTGAGGGGATTCTGAGAGACATGGTACACCTTGGTGGTCTCAGTCAGGCCCTTCTTCTTCATCTCCTTCAGCTGCTGCTGTGCCAAGCGGTAGCTGAAGATTGGAGGGATAATTTTTTGGGCGTTCGGCTGGAAGTTCTCACTTCCAGAGGCATCATCTTCTTGGGCAAACTGGAGGCTTCGCCTGTAGGTCAGAGGAATGTTAACAGGGGCATCCCCTCCTTCAGCAAA